CTTTGTCAAATAATAATAACCCTCGTCGGTGGCAAACAATGATAAAATGACATACTCAGCACTTCACCGACGGCAACACTGCAAACTTTAGCTGCATAACTGCATAACATATGCGCATTTTGTCCAAAAATAATAACCGTCATCGGTGGCAAACAAACCGACCTAATGAGTAACGCCCTAACGAGTATTTGTCAAATAATAATAGGACTAATAGCCTTCATCGGTGGCAAACAATGGCCTAACGACTAACGCCTGATAAGCACTTTCTCCAATAACAATGGTATAATGACTGAAACGAACGTACTTAACACTTTACCGACGGCCACGCTGTTTAATACCTGATACGCTGATACAAACATACCCGAAGTCCGTTAAAGAGAACAAAAAAGGTTTTCAAAACACTGACTAATATACCTACTGGACACCGTACAAACTGTACGTTAGAAAACCAACTCTTTTAAAACTTCACGAACCAACAATATTACATAGTAAATCCACTTTATAGGGTGCGTAAGCTAATCGGCAAAATGAAACTCTGACATGCCCATTATAACGTGCCTACAAAAACTAATTTGTAATATACGCTAACGAGCTGACGCCAAACCTTACAAGACCACTAGCATATATTAAAAAAGGGAACTACATAAACCGCTAGAGTGAGCAAAGAAAATTAACTTAGAGGCAAAAGTCAAAAATGGCCTGGCACGAGTTCAAAAGCTAAGTACTGGATATTTACCTCGCCCACTGCTCCGGGCGCTTCGTCTTGAGGCGCTTGAACTCCAGCCGCTTGAGAACCAGCCGCTTGAACACCCGCCGCTTGAGCACCAACCGCTTGAGCACCAGCCGCATGAACAACAACCGCTTGAGCACCAGCCACTTGAACACCAGCCGCTTGAGCATCAGCTCGGTCGTCGTGCTGGTCGTCGTGCTGGTCGTGGTCTTGTTGCGCCGCCGGAGGTGGAGGCAGGTTAGCCATACTGTTACGAAGAGTTAGCTAGAAGCTGGTGGCGGTGTTTCCCGATATGAGCAAAAACTGAGACGTCTTCCTCCGTTCAACTGATTGAGTGTTTCTTGATC